CATCACTATTGAAGATATGCTCGGCATTAGGCAGCTCCTTGCGTTCCAAGCTATCCCGCTCTCGCTCCGTGCACTCCAAGCTATCTTGCTCCCGTTCCGTGCGTTCCAACTCTTTGTCCGTGCGTCCGGTCTCTATGTCCTCATCATTCCCTCCCTCTTGAGAAGCTTAGTCTCCTCGGGGTTCATACGGTAAGCGGGACGGTTTGGAAGTGGTGCTCCCGGCACAAGATCGATTTGGTGTTCGATCCCACGAGTTGGTGGTAATCCCGCAGGTGGTTCCTCGGGAAAAACGTCTTGAAAATGCTCTAGGAGCTTCTTAATTTCCAGGGGATATACAATCTGATCCGATCCTGCGCTCAACACTTCTTTGTACAACATTAGTAAAACCAAACGTTCATCTAGTAGAGCTTTACTTACCGTGCTTGGTTTCATGTAGAAGTTCGCCTTTTTGTTGTTGTCTCCTTCTTTGGAGAGCTTAACTTGCATCTCGTGAACCTGTGACGGACTAAGAGGAGCCAACGATATCTTACGCTTGTTAAATATAAAAGAGTAGTGGTTGGTCCTACCGTCGTGTTTCACCTCTCGGTCAAATTGCCAAGGACGTCCAAGAAGTATGTGAGAACATAGAGTATCCGGACAGCGGAGAACTCTTGGTCACGAGGCGAGTTTTGAGCACAATGACAAACCCGGAAGAAACTGCCCAAAGAGAGACAATCTTCCACAGTCGATGCACTATTAGAAACAAGGTATGTGGCCTAATCATTGATAGTGGTTCATGTACTAACGTTGCGAGTGCATACATGGTTAAGAAGCTAGGATTGGAGACCGAGAAACAGCCACACCCATATAAGCTTCAATGGCTCAACAACCAAGGGGAACTCAAGGTAAATGAACGGGTCAAAGTATCATTTAGCATTGGACGTTACCAAGATGAGGTGATGTGTGATGTTGTTCCAATGCAAGCGGGGCACATACTTCTTGGACGTCCTTGGCAATTTGACCGAGAGGTGAAACACGACGGTAGGACCAACCACTACTCTTTTATCTTTAACAAGCGTAAGATATCGTTGGCTCCTCTTAGTCCGTCACAGGTTCACGAGATGCAAGTTAAGCTCTCCAAAGAAGGAGACAACAACAAAAAGGCGAACTTCTACATGAAACCAAGCACGGTAAGTAAAGCTCTACTAGATGAACGTTTGGTTTTACTAATGTTGTACAAAGAAGTGTTGAGCGCAGGATCGGATCAGATTGTATATCCCCTGGAAATTAAGAAGCTCCTAGAGCATTTTCAAGACGTTTTTTCCGAGGAACCACCTGCGGGATTACCACCAACTCGTGGTATCGAACACCAAATCGATCTTGTGCCGGGAGCACCACTTCCAAACCGTCCCGCTTACCGTATGAACCCCGAGGAGGCTAAGGAACTCCAAACGCAGGTACAAGATTTATTATCTAAGGGTTATATACGTGAAAGCTTAAGTCCTTGTGCAGTGCCCGTTCTACTCGTGCCAAAGAAGGATGGGACATGGCGTGTGTGTGTGGATTGTAGAGCGATAAACAACATCACAATCAAATATCGCCATCCAATACCACGACTCGATGATATGTTGGATGAGTTAAGCGGAGCAACCCTCTTTTCAAAAGTCGACTTGAAGAGTGGTTATCATCAAGTCCGCATGCGAGAAGGAGACGAGTGGAAGACCGCATTCAAGACGAAACATGGGCTGTACGAATGGCTCGTCATGCCTTTCGGACTCACCAACGCCCCTAGCACCTCCATGAGGCTTATGAACCACATACTTCGCGCCTTTATCGGTAAATTCGTGGTTGTTTATTTTGATGATATTCTCGTCTATAGCAAGTGTTTATCCGAGCATGTGACACATCTTGAGCTTGTAATGGAGACTCTCCGAAGGGAGAAGCTTTATGCCAATCTCAAGAAGTGCACTTTCTGCACTAATGAAGTAGTTTTCCTAGGTTTTGTTGTAAGCTCGCAGGGATTAAGCGTAGACGAGGAGAAGATCAAGGCTATTCGGGAATGGCCAACCCCTACCACCGTCGGACATGTTAGAAGCTTTCATGGCCTAGCTAGCTTCTACCGACGATTCGTTCATGATTTTAGCACTCTTGCAGCCCCCCTCACATCCATCATCAAGAAGGATAAAGCATTCGAGTGGGGAGAAGAACAAGAGAAGGCTTTTGATACCTTGAAGGACAAGCTCACGAGTGCACCCGTCTTACTCCTTCCCGACTTTGATAAGGTATTCGAAATTGAATGTGATGCGTCCGGAATTGGTATTGGGGCTGTTTTGATGCAGGAGAAACGACCCGTGGCATTCTTTAGCGAGAAATTGAGTGGCGCAACGCTCAACTATCCTACCTACGACAAGGAGCTCTATGCCTTGGTTCATGCCTTACAAACATGGCAGCACTATCTCTTGGCGAAGGAGTTCATCATTCACACCGACCATGAGACGTTGAAGCATCTCAAAGGCCAATCTACGCTCAAAAGGAGGCATGCTAAGTGGTTGGCGTATGTCGAGACATTTCCGTACGTGATCAAGTACAAAAAGGGAAAAGACAATGTGGTGGCCGATGCGTTGTCAAGGCGGTATGCTTTGATTTCGATCATGGAGGCTAAGATGCTTGGATTCGAGCACATCAAGGGGCTGTACCGTGATGATGCCGAGCTTGGAGACATCTATGAGGAGTGCACTAAGGGAGCTCATGGATCATTCTACAAGGAGGCTGATTATCTCTTTCGGGAAAGGAGGCTATGCATTCCAAAGTGCTCAATGCGGGAGCTTATTTTACAGGAGGCACATAGTGGACCTCTCATGGGACATTTTGGCGT